AAAAAAAAAAAATTCCTATGACAAATGTTTTTAGTCTCTTCATTATCAGAGGAAAAAATAATATAGTAGGCAAAGGTGGTTTCTCTGAAATGTTACAATTCTGAGATTTTGTTGTTAGTCACTTTTCTAAATCTTTGGTTCCTTACATCCCTCATAAGGTTTAGCACCCATTTCCCCATCTTTTACCAGGAATGTGCCCACATCATTCTGGACTTGATGCAGTCAGTGGGGGAAAAGAGGAGTGTTGGTTTTGTTCTTTTCCTCTCCCCCTTTCCTGTCGCCAGCTTTGCCACCTCAAACTGTGTTCTGGCATGAAGTGACATCAGGGACTAGTGTTGATGGTGGATTTGTTGGAGTGCTAGGCAGCAAGTCCCTTCACGCTGCCTGCCTGTGGGTCTCTAAGGGAAAGGAGAGGGAGCTGGCAGGGGATGGCAACTGGAGGCTTCTGGGAGCCCCAGAGATGCCTGAGTCACTTGGCTGGGGTTGCCAGGCACTACCTGTAGAGATGTTATGTAACTTGAATGTTTTCCATGAAATTCTTAAGGTCGTTAATGGGTTAGTGGGTTATGATGACTCCTAGCAAAAATGTGTATTAAGAAGAAAGCCTTATTTGACATGATGGCTTTTTGACTTGGAGCCCAGGTTCCTTCCTGACAAGCGTATCATTGCAAATTTACAAGAAATATGTCAGTTACTTAAGTGAATCAACTTTTAGAGCCTTTGTCTTTGTGGCACAATTACAAAATTTTATTAGAGAATTGAAAGCAGATGAAAAAAATTTTTTTTTTGATTTTCAGGTGGAGACTGTTGAGAAAGTATATGAGATCTTTACCTCAGATGATGTTGATTTTGTTCTGAGAAAATCAGCTGCAGAGCAGTTAGCTGTAATTATGCAAGGTAATGTCTTTTAAGGAAAATGATTGTTGTACTGCTGATAATAGAGTTTAGATTGCTGTGTGTAGTATTCAGGAGACGGTAAACTAAATTTTTCAGGTTGAATCAAGCCTGTGGCCTGTTTTTGTGCAGCCAGCTGGCTAAGAATGCTTTTTACATTTTTAAAGAGTTATAAGAACAAAAAACAAAGGCTATGCAACAGAGACCGTATGTAACCAGCAAAGCCTGATATGTTTATTACCTAGCTCTTTGCATGAAAGTGTACCAACCCCTGCTCTGGGCTTTTTGACTCTAAAATGTCGTTTGATAGAATTATCTTCCTTTGAAAATACTGATAAAATTCTGACTATAAAATTGCATATCCCTTGTCTTAGTTGTCCCTTTTCTTAGTTTGGAAACTCTGGTGGCATAGTGGTTAAGAGCTACGGCTGCTAACCAAAACGTCAGCAGTTCAAATCCACCAGACATTTCTTGGAAACGCTATGGGGCAGTTCTACTCTGTCCTGTAGGGTCGCTATGAGTCAGAATCAACGTGACGGCAATAGTTTTTGTCCTAGTTGAAGCCCTGGTGGCATAGTGGTTAAGAGGAGTTTGGCTGCTAACCAGAAGCGTGGCAGTTTGAATCTGCCAGCTGCTCTTTGGAATCCCTATGGGGCAGTTCTACTCTGTCCTGTAGGGTCACTGTAAATCAGAAGAATCGACTCGACAGCAATGGGTTTGGTTTTTTTTTTTTTTTTGGTCTTAGTTATCTAGTGCTGCTATGACAGAAATACCACTGGTGGATGGCTTTAATGAACAGAAATTTATTCTTTCACAGTTTAAGAGGCTAGAAGTCTGAATTCAGGGCATTAGCTCCAGGGAAAGGCTTTCTCTCTCTGTTGGCTCTAGAGGAAGGTCCTTGTCATCAGTCTTCCCCTGGTCTAGGAGTTTCTTAGTGCAGGGACCCTGGGTCCAAAGGTCATGCTCCATGCCTGGCCCTTCTTGCTTGGTGGTTGTGAAGTCCTCCTCTCGCTTCTTTCTTTTATATCTCAAAAGACATTGACTCAAGACACAACCTAATCCTGTAGATTGTATCCTGCCTGATTAACATAAGGGACAGCTCATTCTGTAATAG